GGCATTTGTTCTGGGACACTGGCTGAGGAGGAAGGTCAGCTGAGTGCTTTCTCTGCCTCTGGGCTTGCAGGCTTTCACTCCAGTTTCTGGCTCCTGAGTCTTTATTGGTAAAATTGAACAATTGAGATTTTTGCTAAAAACAAATGAACAAACAAACAAAACCAAAACAAATAAACAGAAAAGAAAATAAAACAACCCAAAAACCAAACACAGACCAGTATGGGAAAACTTTAGGGTGGAAAGTACCTAAATAGTGATAGTTTCATGTGTATACGTATTTGTTAAGAAACTATCTTCAACTGCATGCTTTAAATATTTATGCTTTATCACACTGTCTTAGTTAGGGTTTTACTGCTGTGAACAGACACCATGACCAAGGCATCTCTTTTTTTTAAATGTATTTTATGTATATGAGTACACCATAGCTGTCTTCAGACACACCAGAAGAGGCCATCAGATCCCATTACAGATGGTTTTGAGCCACCAAGTAGTTGCTGGGATTTGAACTCAGGACCTCTGGAAGAGCAGTCAGTGCTCTTAACCACTGAGCCATCTCTCCAGCCCATAAGGCAATTCTTATAAGGACATTTAACTAGGGCTGGCTTACAGGTTCCGAGGTTCAGTCCATTATCATCAAGGCAAAAGCATGCCATCGTCCAGGCAGCCATGGTGTAGGCAGAGCTGAGGGTTCTACATCTTTATCTGAAGGCAGAATACTGGCTTCCAGGCAGCTAGGATGAAGGTCTTAAAGCCCACATCCAGTGACACACCTACTCCAGCAAGACCACACCTTCTAACAGTGCCATTCCTTGGGTCAAGCATATACAAACCATAACATATACATTATTTTTACTTTTAAAAAGATGGTGTAGGGCATGAAAAGATAGTTTAGTTGGTGCTAATGCTTGCTGTGCAAGCTTGAGAACCTGCTTTGAATCCCAGCACCTATGGGAGAGAGAGAGGAGGGGGGAAGGAGGAGGAGGAGGAAGAGGAGGAGGAGGAGGAAGAGGAGGAGGAGGGGAGAGGAGAGGAGGCAGGTATGGCCCATGCCTGGTAACCCTAGTATTGTAGGGGTGGAGAGACAGGATTCTTGGAGATCTCCAGCATAGCTCCAAGTTCACTGAGAGACCCAGCCTCAAAGGAAGAAGACAGATGATGATGCCAAACACCTGATACACTTCTCTAGCCCCTACACTTGTACATGCACACACTCTTTTAAAGGTCTTTGATAGGACAGAGGGATGGCTGTTGGTAAAATGCTTTCTGTATAAGAAAGAGGAGCTGAATTTCTTTCCTAGAACTCACATAAAGGCTGGTTATGATAGCCCACACCAAACCTCCCACTACTGGGTAAGTGGACACAGGAAGATCCCTGGGGCTCGCCAGGCCTTGTTAATTAGCTAGTCTAACTATATCAGCAGATTCCAGGTTCAGTAAGAGACACTGTCTCAAAAGATAAGACGCAGAGCTATGACAGAAGATATTTGACGAGGAGTGAGACTTTTAAAATGGAAGAATCTTTTCATACTTTTAAAATTAAAACATGAACTATACATGTGTAATATATTCCATAATTGTAATGTGAAATAAAACATTTTGTGTTTCTGTTGCTGTGTGTGGTAAAACACCATGACCATATGTTATGGAAGAAAGAGTCTATTTTGGTTTATGGTTTGAAGGTTAGAATCTATAATGGCAGCACAGAGGGGAAAGATAGGGAAGCAGGAACAGGAAGCCGAGCACTTACCCCTTGAGCCACAGCACAAAGTGGAGAGAGAAAGGGAAGAGGCACAAGTCTTTAGACTCTCAAAGCCCACCCCTAGTGACATACTTCTAACAGGGCTATACCCCCCCAAACCTCCTCAGACAGTGCCATCAACTGGGGACCAAGTGTACAAACATCTGAGCCTGTGGGGGGCATTCTCATTCAAACCACTACACACTGTTAAGTCAAAGGGGGTCATTTGAGTTCAGATTTTTCCTGTGCAAGTCACAAATGCTTCCCAATTGGCTTGTGCTTTGGCCTTCTGGATGAGCAGGGTTCACAGTCATAGAAAGCACTGCCTTTCCTTCAATAGTTTAGTGAATATACATTTCCTTTGCCCCCAGAAGGATCCAGATGAACTCTTTAGGACACGGGAAGTAAGTGGAGCGCCCCCCTTAGAACAGGAAAGAATGTTGCAGAGTCAGTCAGTAGGTTTCTGTGTGACCAATCAACTATCAGTCAAGATGGGTGTGATGGTTGACTATCAATTTGATTAGAGTGTCTTTGAGGGTTTCCAGAGATGACTAGACTCTAGGGCTCTGACCTAATGAGCATGCTAATGGATTCATAATAAGAAGCCTTATAGAGAGGTGATGAAAAGCAGAAAGTTGGCCATACTAGAGGAAATCCATTACTTGGGATATGTTCTTTGAAGCTCTCTTTCCCTGGCATGTTTACTTCTGTAGTCCCTTCTTTGTCTGTTTCTTGGCTGCCACAGTGTAAACCATTCTGCTTTATCACACCCTTCCCCCACGCTGGGCTGACCGCTTTGAAGCCATGAGCTAAATTTCTCCTACATTACCTTATGTCACAGATTAAGTCACAACAATGTAGAGACGAATGCAATGACTTCAAATAATGGGACACACGGAAAGAGGAAATGCTCATAGTTTTAAAACTACCAGAAATGTCAGCTTGGGCTCTGGCGTCACGATACTGGCTCAGTTGGTGAAGCATATACCTTGCTAACAGAAAGACACGCGTTTGATTCACCAGAATCAACATTTGAAACAGCTAGAAGCGATGAGGCATGCCTCTGTGAGAGTCTAACAGCTGGCAATGTCCTCATTGATAGGCGGCCATTGAAGGGGAGAGCAGAGAAGCTGGGCAGTGCAGAGGGTCTGTCTGTTTAACTCAGAGTCCAGTACGGTGATGCCGCCTGCTTGCTCAGTGTCTTCTTGGGAGTGCGTTGACTATTCTGAGGGGTTTTTGTTGTTGTTTTGTTTGTTTGTTTGTTTTGCTTTTGTTTTTTGGTTGGTTGACATGAATTCTAGGGATCCCCCCACTGCTGTTTTGTTTGTTTTTGTTTTGTTTGATTTATTTTTAAGATTTATTTATTTCATGTATGTGGGTACACTGTCGCTGTCTTCAGACACCAGAAGAGGGCATCGGATTCTATTACAGGTGGTTGTGAGCCATAATGTGGTTGCCGGGAATTGAACTCACGACCTCTGGAAGAGCAGTTGGTCCTCTTAACCTCTGAGACATCTCTCCAGCCACTTTTGTTTTGTTTTTTTTTTTTTAACATAAAGCCTGTTGTAGTCCAGCCTGGTCTTATTGGTAGGTTTTTGTTTATCTGTTGCCTGTTTTAAATTTCCGATAAAAGAAAAACAAAAACAAAAAACAAAAACCTACAGTAACTGGGTTGTTTTCAAGTATATCTAGCATCAGAGTCCTAATTGCTCAAATTCATCCTCCTTGGTGGGATATTAGTTTTTAAATGATTGTATTTCTTATTGTTCCTGGGTGCTTACAGACAAACGGCTTGGAGATCACTGAAGAAAAGGTTCTCCAGGGATAAACGGACTAGCTTGTGCTTAAATTTAACTCTCCAAGGCGAGAGGGAAGTTGAATCTTCAGTGCCTTAAAATAAGTCTCATAGTGATATCTTCACTGTTGTCTGCAGTACAGATACACACTACTTACATCTTTCACACACTAAACCCCTTCCCAGGCTGGGATGAAGTAAGAAGACCTCACAGTGATTTTTGCCTTTTCTGTCTCCAAAAATTGTTTTGTGGAGCAAAACCCTGAATGGTATACGAAAGCTCTTGGAAGGCGTTTGTGAATTTGACAGGACTCAGGAGAGGAGCCCGGAAACTGCCCGGCGTCAACGTGGCAACTCTGGATTCATACGCCCTGAACTTAGGCAGGTAACTGGTGAAAGTTAAATAGAGACATACTCTTAACAGTGTGCGGCAAACTAAATGGACTGAGAGACCAGAACAATTCGGAGAACGCAGTGCGGGAACACGGTGACCACAAGAACAGAGCGCCCCTAGAATGACCATAGACTGAACAATGCCATTAATTAAACACAATTCAGTCCGAGAGTCAATCAATAAAGGGCACTGGCAATTTCTAGCCAATTTCTGTTTGTGACTTTCTCAGCTACGCAGCAAGGATACGTCAGCTCCTGGAGGGAGATCGGATTAAATGAGACTGTTTACCTAGAAGAGTTAACCAAGCCCTTCCTGAACTCCACGCTGTGTTGGGAACACTACACCGATCCTAGCCAGACACGTTACCCATAATTTGACTAGAGACAGGGAGTGAAGCCATCCCTCGCTATCAGGGAGATTGTTAACAGGACCTTTGCAAATAATGAAACAACGGACGCCTTATACTAAATAGCATAGCGTCTGCATCGAACCTATACAAATCTCGCAGATTTTAAATCATTTGAGGATTAGTACATCAACTAACGCGATTAAATGTTTACTTAATGTTACTTAAACTAGCTCATCACAATTTCTTTTTTTAAATATATTTTCGGGGGCTCAGCAATTACGAGCACTTGCTCCTCTCCCGAAGGTCCTGGGTTCACTTCTCAGCTCACAATCATCCAGAACTTAGGTCTCTAGAGATCCGATGTTCTTTCTTTTACAAGGCACCCATCTGGTGCATGTAGTGGCAAACCACTCATACATATAAATCAAAAAATAAATCTAAAAAAAAAAAAATCCCCTTTCCCCCTCATGGTGGTTGAATTCGTGCAATGCGTTCAGCTAGGCGCAGAGCTGGGAGCCAAGGGAGACTGATTTCTTCAGCTGCGTATACCAACTCGGAGACTTGCAGTTCCGTCTCCTGAGTCCAGAGGCTGCACCCCGCCCAGTGCCTTCGAACCGGAAGTATTCTCTTCCCTGACTAAAAATGGCGGCCGCTGAGTCACTTGCCCACCTCCAATAGCCAATGGATGCCCGAGGTTCCGCTGACTCATATCCGCGACCGCTGCTCTAGGTGATCTGATGCAACGCCTCAATTAAGGAAGCCTTGAGTGCACGTTGGGGTGAGCAGGTGGCGTTGGTGCAGTGTCCATGTCCTCAGAGGTGATCAGGGGGACTGCGGAGATGGTACTAGGTGAGTGAAGTTCGGCGTGTGGCACGGCACGGAAATGTTCCGGCCGAATTCCAGAACTTCTCTTAGTGCTTGGCGGGGCGTGGGCGCACTCCAAAATATTCGTGAGGCCCTGGTCCCTCGTCCCAGACCCTCAGACATGGGGGCCACCTGGGGACCCGACTCGGTGGCCCAGGTCTGGTTCTGCTCCAGCCCTGTGGGTCCCTCGGCCACTGCCTCCCTGGCCCAGCCCCACTGCGAAAGTCTCGTGCTTCCGAGGGCGCTGCAAGGGTCTGGGACCTAGTGACGCCCCAGATGTGCAGTTCTTCAGTCGTTCTTCTGGGGATGATTTAAAGCTTTTAATTAATTTTCGCACAACCTCACGTTTTCCGTGAGATCTGCAGCGGTGAAAATAAAAAGATTTAAAAAACGAAGGCGATGTCACAGTTCTAAGGCCCCAGAGTTTGGATTTGTTTCGAAAAGGACAGCGTTTTCGTTTGTTCACTGTGCACTGTTACTGGGATGCCTGATTCACATCTTGTTCTGTTTTATTCTCAGTACAGCCCTGTACGATGTATATGTTGTCCTGATTGTATAGATGAAGTAAGCTCAGAAAGGCTAAATAAATTCTCCCCCAGGTCACTCAGACTTCTAAGGTACAGCATCTAATAACCTTAGGATGAATTTTAAAATTCTGCCTTTATCGTGCAGCCAAGTAAAGAGAAGTTCGAATAGGTTAAAATGATGAAAAACTTCATGTAGGAAAGTCAGATTTGCAGTTCATTGTGTTGGGAGGTGGATGTTAGGAGAATAGTCTTCTTAAACAGGGAGATTGGAAAAATAATATGTTGACTTCTTTTGGTCTGTGGTAGTTTTTTACAAATCAGACGATTTTTCAGTTTACAAAGATAGAAAATTATAAAGCAGTTGCATTAAGTGATGAGGGATGAGTAACTTTTCTTTTTTTTTTTTCTTTAAAAAAAAAAAACAGCAGAGCTCTATGTCTCTGACCGAGAAGGAAATGACGCAACAGGGGATGGAACCAAGGAGAAACCATTTAAAACAGGCCTAAAGGTAATCTCATTAGGATGACTGCTCTGCATTTTAGCAATGAGTGTTGACATTGAATGACTTGTGGAGAATTGTATTTCATTCTTTCACTGAAAAGAAAATACAGCGTTTGGTCACCGGGAGCAGGGAAGAGAGGCAGTATTTGTGTGCCTTTGCCACAGGTATGGAAGTCAGGAGACAACCGTTTGTTCTGTTGTCCTCTGTGTGAATGCTGAGAGCACCAAACTCAAACTCAGGCCGTCATGCTTCGAGGCAGTCACCTTTACCCACTCAACCATCTCCCCAACCCAGTAAATAATTTTATTTCAGACACTAGATTTTGAAAAGGAGCCCTGAAAAGGGAAGTTAAAGAGGACGTACACACATGTAGATTTTAGAGTGGTAGATCAGAGCTCCAACTTACATATATATCAGGTTTTTCCTTTCCTCCCTTACCACAAGGTGTTTATCTCTGCACTTTTTTTCTCTGTCAGACTGTCTGTTTTTCAGTTCTTGTAACAGTAGGAATCCCCTCTGAATCACACTGACCTCATTCCCCAGGTGAGTCTGAAGAGGTCTCTTGATGGCTTTATCATAGTACAGATACCATCTTGACCTTGAGACCCAAAGACTTGACATACCAGCAACCCGTCAATGGACCAGCTCTTTAAAGCAGACTCATGAATCTGAATGCTGAAGACAAAAATGCCACTAAATTAATGTATTGTTATTTCGGGGACCTAGGAACATCGTATGAGGTTAGCTCATTCTAACTGGACTGTTATACATGTCCCAGGAATCCTTTGATTCAGAATTAATTGCATCAGGTTAAGGTATCCCCACTATAGTATTTAGTCATTGGCTTTGTCGAGCTAGAATGCTGGAGTCCTCTAGCTATAGTTACTCCACAAGGGGGATGGTTAAATGCCCCCTCTTTGGAAGAGCAAGACCCTGTCACTCCTTTTCTCTGTGCATCCATATTTGGCCAATTCTTATTTTTATAGATGCTTGACAGTATCAGTCATCAAATCCTAATCCTGAAGTGTTTTCTGCTAAGGTCAGGCCATGTGGTCATGCTTTAATATGTGTTTTAGCTCTTCAGAGAGACGTCTTTCTCAGTTGATATGTCTCCTGTGACTTCCCAAAACCAATGGTGACCCTTGGAAGAGGAATGTTGTCGTCTGAAGGTGTGCCCTTCAGATGTGAGGAATGGTAGTTAGTTAGGCTCTTCCCATCTCTGACATGAAAGATGAGTATCAGTGTACAGTTCAAGGAAGGAGATGGATTCCAAGGTCTCTGTAGATGAGCTGTGTTGATGGGAGGCAGAGTGTCCGTACAAAGAATGTAGGCGGTCACAGTGATCCTGGGCACTGAGCATCCGATGGGGCCGGAGTTGCACATGCAGTCCATCCAGTCCGTCATTGACTGGAGTGTACTTACACGGTGTAAGACTATGAGCCTATGATAACTTACTGTTAAGAATTCTTTTGATGTTGTCAGAAGAGTCACATTCCTGCTCTATAGCATGTGACAAAGTGGACTAAGCCACACTAGAAGGTCAGGGTGAAGAATAGTAGAAGCAGGAGGGGGCGGGTTGTGAGGGTGGGGGAGTGGGGGTGGGGATAAACTTGCAAAGCAGCTTCTCAAGCTTTGGGGATTGGAAGGCTCAGAATGTGAGGGAGGAGGATGGAGTCACCAGTTAGGACTGTGCATGTTTTCTCTGGGAATGGGTGGAGACTTTTCAGGAATTTGAGCATTCCTTCGTTCTTTTTATGATTGGTGTGTGTGTGTGTGTGTGTGTGTGTGTGTGTGTGTGTGTGTGTGACCATTTTGTATGGGGGAGAGGAGGGCTTAGCTAATCTTAAATAAATGTTGTTAATGTTTCCTCATAGGCCTAACTGTTTAACCCCCAAGTTAGTGATTGTCTTTTGTAACTTTATGGCCTCTGGCCTTTAGCTGAGGAATGAAACCAGACAGGTCAGGACACATGGCTCATAGAACAGCTGAAGCACAAGGCAGCTCAGAAGCCCTAGAGGGGGCTCAAACAGGCAAAGACTAGATGGTAGGCTCTCGAAGGTCAGGCTTTATAAACTTCAGATTTTATTGCCAGAGAGAATAAGGTACCTCTCTTTCCTGTTTGATATAATAACTCTAGAAAAATTTTCAGACAGTGCTTGAAGGTTAGTTACTAAGATATTCATCTTTGCCTTTGACCTGTAATTCCAGTACTTGAAAGGTAAAGAAAGGTCCAGGAGTTGAAGGTCATCTTCAGCTACATAGCAAGACCAAGACTGGTTTGAGCTAGAGACTCTGTTTAAAAAATTGGCCTTTAGGGGCCAGTAAGATGGCTCAGTGGGTAAAGGTGATTGCTACCAATCTTGACAGTCTGAGTTCAGACCCATGTGGTGGGAAGAGAAAGTTGATTTTCCTAGTTGTCGTCTGACTATATACACCCTCAATAAAACATAAGCATTTTAAAATTTTTTTACATTCACTAACTTAAACCATACAAACTATAAACTACTAAATGATATACAATACAGTAATGCTTAATATACCAACCAATATTGATGAAAAAAAAAGTCTCGAGAATTTTTCAAATTAAATGGAGATTAGCCTTCTGTGTAACTTGGCTTTTACTTTGTTGAACGAGTTTCAGACCTGCCTATCTTAGGTCCCGCCTTTGTTATTTTACAAGTCTCTAACTTTTCAGATATTGTTTGCAAAGTGGTTTTGCTTTCTGCTGCCTCTCTTCTGTTGGCATAGCTGTACTGGTCCCTGTGACCATTTGACTCTCTTCTCTGATGGGTGGCTGTAGGGGCTGCTTACTGTGTAGCTGAACTGGTTGGAATTTTCAGTAGCATGACCTGAGGTGTTCTTAGAGCAAACTCCATCTGTAGGAGGCTCAGTGAGTCATCCTGTGGACACGGTTTTTGCCTCTTGGCTCCTGATGCTTTCTTCTAGGCTCTTGGTAATGTTGAAGTTCATAATCCACATGTGATTTTGGTTACTAAGTATTGCATAATATTAAAGAAATGTTTTCTCTCTCTCCCTCCCCAAGGCTTTGATGACAGTTGGAAAAGAGCCATTTCCCACCATTTATGTGGATTCACAAAAGGAAAATGAGGTAGGGTGCACCCAAACCTTTTCAAGATTGTGCCTTGTGAAAAATAAGTTTTCTGAGCACATAGAGGTGTGGAGGATAATGTATATCTTTGTGCTCTCTCTGTAGAGGTGGGATGTGATTTCTAAGTCACAGATGAAGAACATTAAAAAGATGTGGCACAGAGAACAGATGAAGACTGATTCTCGGGAGAAGAAAGAGGTGACTAATGAATTTGCCACTATACATTTTTATAGTTACAACACCCAGAGCTATATTTACCAAATGCGTTATTTTTAAAATTAGGCAGAAGATAACTTACGAAGAGAAAAGAACCTGGAGGAAGCAAAAAAAATTATCATTAAAAATGACCCGAGCCTGCCCGAGCCAGCATGTGTAAGTGCCTGTCCTTTCTGGTGTTACGAGCTTGGCTGTATCTGCACTACTTCTGGGTTTGCAGAGCACACATTCTTTGTTCTACTGTTCTGTCTTTTTAGAAGGGATCAGCAGGCAGTGTTCTGAGTGCTGAGAGGTTGGGTTTTAGAGGTTCAGTTTGGTCTTTAAGTTTAGACATTCTATGTTGAGTAGATTCTGCTCCGACTGGCCAGCAGCAGATGTCGGCTGCCGTCCGGCTATGCTGGGTAGTTTCAGGCACAGTTTTTTCACCCAAAAGTCAAAAGCTAAGTTTTCACAAGTTGTGCAAATACTTCAGAAGCATTCGTGATTCTTTGAAAGGAGGATTGCTCTTGTGTTTTTTTCTGGAACCCAAACAGATTGCTGGCCCAGCAGAGAGTGCGGCCTGAGCTTCAGTAAAGTTCTGCTGACGAAGTATCTGTCAGTCTCAGCCGCTTCCCACTTCCTCCTCACAGCATTTTCCTCTGTCTTAGGTTTCTGGTGTCTGGGTGTTTAGACCTGTGAGACTGGGATTGTTGCTAGTGTGGGTGACAGGCACATCTCTTGTGACAACCTGAATTCACTTATTAACTTAATTTCTCTAACAGTACCTGAAACAGTTTTAGATATCTCTCACTGTCAATTTTGCATTAATAGAAAAGGGCTTTTTCTTTTCTCTCTTTTTCTCTTTCTTTCTCTCTGTCTCTACTGACTATTGTGGTGGTGGGGGTTTTCTTGTTTGGTTTGTTTTTTGTTGTTACTAGTTGTTTGGTTGTTGTTTGAGACTAATGGATCCCTGACTGACCTAGAATTTACATAGACTCCCTACCTGGCTTTGCCTTATAAGTACTGGCATTAAATGTGTCTGGCATACACCCAGCAGTGATTGTTTCTGACAGTTGACATTTTACTACAGTCTATGGAATATTGGTGAAAATGTTGGTTTGTAATGATGACGTGTTTCAAGTAGTTTTCATTTATATTTGGCAGGTAAAGATTCGTGCATTAGAAGGATACAGAGGCCAGAGAGTAAAGGTGTTTGGCTGGGTCCACAGGTTACGCAGGCAAGGTGAGTGGTGGGTAGGTTTTCTTTCCCTCTTTTCAATTTTAAATAATCCTGGTTTTAGGTGAAGAAGAGCATAGAAACATGTCTTCAGGTTTGTTTAGGTTCTTGGTGTACTGTCTTTGTTAAAGGGTGTGATAATTTATAGCCTACATTTGTTTCTATGCCACATGATTCTGAAAGTTTGAAACGCAGATATTGCTTCACCTGTTAGAAATCACAGTGGTCAGGGGGTATATAATAAGTACATCACCTCAAACTGAATTTTAATTATTTAATGAGAAGCAGGGACATGCGTTATAAGAATAGATCCTCATCTAGAATATGATCACAGGATTTTTTTTGTGTGCTTATTTTTTATTTTATTTTTTACATCAGCATCCTAGTTGGTCCCCTGTGAGAGTGCATGTTTGAATGTATGTGGTCAGATGCGTGGAGACACATGCACATGGAGGCCCGAGACTGATGTCTGAAATTACCCAGGATTTATCTTCCGCTGTATCTGCTTGAGGCAAGGTCTCTCACTCGAACCCAGAGCTCCTTGATATGGCTGGTCTAGCTAACCAGCTTCCTCCAGACGGCTCCTATCTCTTCTAAGGCTGGAATTACAGGGGCCACCATACCCACCTTGCCTGCTTTTTTGCATGGGTTCAGGGAATCTGAAATCTGCTCCTCATGCCTGCATGGCAAGCACTTTAACCACAGGCTATCTCCCCATCGCTGGCACCTTAATTGTGATTTTTATAACCCTGACATTTTCTTCTCCTTTTTATTAGTTTATTACTTTACTATAAGTGATTATCAAATCATTCATAAAGACGAGTGAGATATGAGTGAGTGTATCTTCACATCTTTCTGCCCCTCCTGGTGGTGCTTAGGGATTCAGAAGTAAATATGACAGTGCCTCAGTTCAGGCCTGACTGACTGTCCCATGATCATGTGGATGGCAAATACCATGTGCAATTAGAACATACAGTCATAAATAATAGGCTTGGGGGCACTTCAGATGCAGAGGTTTGAACTTCTGATGCTTACCCTTGCAGCTGCTTATGTAGGGTGGGTTATGAAGTGTTCTGGAGTCCCTTGAGACTGGCTGAATTTTGTTTCTCATTTCTAGGAAAGAATTTGATGTTTTTGGTGTTGCGAGATGGTACGGGTTATCTTCAGTGTGTCTTGTCAGATGACTTGGTAGGTATTTTGTCTTAAGTATGTCTGAAAGATTGTATCCAATAGGGCCCATAACTGTAAATTTTGAGAATTTTAGGGTCTGTGTACATGTTTTACATTTTTACTATGTTAACTGGATACCTGTATCAAAACCATTAGTATATCAAAAACATATGTAAAAAGTTCTGATTATACCTTAGAAAAGCTAGAGGGAAAGCTTTTGTTAAGAAATTTTTCTGAAACATAAAATCTTAGAACAGTATAGAGAGCCAGTTTTTAGTGGATCCTGGTTTGTTTCCCTGGATGTCATCTTCGTGGGAGACTGGATGTCTCCTTGCCATCATCTTTCCTTCTGTTCCCCAGCAGCTTTGTGGGAGGAAAACCAGAGACACTATTTAGTGGAGTGTCTCACGCTGAGATTGGTTAGTCCTGCCTTGTGTCACTCAGTGTGCTTCTGCTTGCACTGCTTACAAATGGGCATCATGTCTGACAGTATTGGATTTTTATTTCCTTCACACAACTACAAATGAACCTCTGTTCCTCTGGTTATGTCAAGAGGGACATGATGCCCACTTGGGTTTCTGGAGTTAGTAGCTGTAGTGTAAGCAGCCCTATCCCACTGTTGTCAAATGTTCATCTCTTTTCTTGTAATGACTTTAGCATGTACTGGTCATCATGGCATAGAAAAGCTCTGTCCATTTCAGTCAAAGATAGACTGTGGGGATCTGTAGTGGGGCTAGTGTCCTTTATCTTCCGTGTTCATGTAGAGGGACAGCCGTATGTTTTGAATGATGGTACCACAGTCCATCAAGTACGTTAGTATCTCATTGAGCAGATGTTAGGGTGTACATAACTAGGTGTCATCTCAATAGGTCATATAAATGTGCTCCATTGCTAATAGAAGTGTTGTGTGGTGCATGGCCAACCCTGATTTAATGCCTTCTCCAAAAATAGCTTGCATGCTCACTTGTGCATGCACGCCCCTCCCCCCTTTCTCTTCCCTCTCTCTAATTTTAGAAATCAGTGATGAACCAGGGGTGGTAGCACAGCCTATAATCAATCCCAGCACTTTCTCTTAGAGGCAGGGATGTCAGAAGTTTAAGATCAGAAGTTCAAGGTTAGCAGGGCTATATGAGACTCTATCTTCAATAGAAAACCAAACCAAAATTAACTTGTTTGTAAATAATTCCTTTACTATTATTAGAATATTTTAAATCAACATCAGTAGGCTAATATGAACTTTGATCTTTTTACAGTGTCAGTGCTACAATGGAGTAGTCTTGTCCACCGAGAGTAGTGTGGCAGTATACGGAACACTAAACCTGACTCCAAAGGGCAAACAGGTAAGTGAGCCGAACTCACGGAGTAAAGTCATAGGTGTTTAATGGTTTGTTCCCCAGTGTCTGTAGTGGTACATTTGGTGTTGTCATATAAATACACAAATGTCGAATTCTATAAAGTCAACATACTGTGTCCAGTAACATATGTACACTGTATGTTTTTATCTTAGTCTGCCTTTTGCAGCTATAACAACATCTCATGGACTAGGAAATTCATGATGAAAAGACATTTTTCTTGTAGTTCTAGAGGTTGGGAAGTTCAAGATAGAGAGGCTATTTTGAGTGATGGCTTTCTTGCTGTGACAGACCATGACACAACTAACACATCCAAGTGAAAAATGCATTCAGTAGATTTGAATGGGGCTCAGCTGACTTCTGTGGCAAACCCAGTTTCGTGATCACTAGCAGCTAACTCACTGTCAGGATTTCATTGCTGTGGAGAGATACCACGACCAAAGCAACTCTTTGGTTTTTTTCGAGACAGGGTTTCTCTGTGTAGCCCTGGCTGTCCTGGAACTCACTCTGTAGACCAGGCTAGCCTCGAACTCTTGAACTCAGAAATCCACCTGCCTCTGCCTCCCAAGTGCTGGGATTAAAGGTGTGTGCCGCCACCACCCGGCCAAAGCAACTCTTATAAAGGAAATATTAGGGCTGGCTTACAGGTTCAGAGGTTCAGTCCGTTATCATCATGGGAGGAAGCATGACAGCTGCAGGCAGACATGGTGCTGGAAGAGCCAAGAGTTCTCCATCTTGATCCACAGGCAGCAGAAAGGGACTGAATTCCATAGGCAGCCATTCCACACTGGGCAGAGCTTGAGCCTAGAGACCTTAGAGCCCACCCTACAGTGACATACAAGGCCACACCTCCTTAAAGTGCCACTTCCCAGGAGCCAAGGAGTCAGACACATGAGTCTGTGGAGGCCAAACCTATTTAAACTCTGAGGATTTTAGAAAACACTAGTTTAAACTGAAAGCTTTGAACAGGAATTGGTAGTTTCTTAGGAAAAAAAAAGAAAAGAAAGAAAGAAAGAAAGTGGAGGGGGGAGGGTGACGGAACATAGGAATATATTTTTGCTTTAGCCAGTAGCAGGTAACCTAATAACATTTACCTGTTGCTAATTACAATTCAAATAAGCTACTGTGCTTGTAACTGTTGCCTAGGAAAAAACTACAAGTGTAGCTTATTAACCACAAGAGGGAGCAGATACTCCTGGTACCGAGTTTGTGTAAAGCCTGCCCTGTAATAAAAATGAGTGTCTGAGTGAAGTTCACTGAGCTTTCCTTGAAGTACCGTGATTACAGATGGAGTGGTTGTCATGGTGTTACTTGCTGTCCCACTGGCAACAAGATAATTACATGCTCCGTGAGTGAGAGGCTTTTAGAATAAATTACTTTCCATAGAGTCAATCGGGAAAATTCTGATTATCTTTTTCTAAATAGATAACTGCTTTTAGAAAAAAATTTATTCCATTTAAATGTAAGACTTTATTTTTTATCACTTCAATTATGTATATGTGTGTTGGTATGTGTTATGTGCATACAAGTACAGATGCCCTCAGAAACAGAGGCGTCAAATGTCTCGGAGCTGGTTTTAAAGGGAATTGTAAGCCACCCTGTGGGTGCTGGAAACCGAACTCAGGTCCTTTGGATGGGAAGTATGCACTCTAACTGCTGAACTAGCTTTTAAGCTCCATATTTAAGTTTTACATATGGAAAAGTATGTTAATGTTTTAGACAAATGCTAAAAAAACAAACTGTCATGCTAATAGTTGTTAGTAATTACTCCAGGTCATGGAATTAGAGTTGATGTAAAAGACAACATTTAATTGGGGCTGGCTTACAGTTTTAGAGGCTCAGCCCATTATCATCATGGCGGGAATCGGCAACATACAGGCAGACATGGTGCTGGAGAAGCTGAAAGTTCTACATCTTGGTTTGCAAGCAGCAGAAGAGGACTCTATTCCACAGGCAGCCAGGAGGACGGGCACTAGGTGGAGTTTGAGCATAGGACTTCAGAGCCACCCCTACAGGGATACACTTCCTCCAATAAGGCCACACCTCCTACTAGTGTCACTTCCCGTGGGCTAAAAATATTCAAACTACCACAGCCTTTTTAATTTACAAAATACATGTGTATGTTTATATGGAAAGAAGTATTAAATGTAAAATTATAGCACTCAGTTATTGAGTCACTAATTCTGGAGTCAAAAGCTACTAACAATATATTTTTTTTTTTTTTTTTTGGAGACAGAGTTTCTCTGTGTAGCCCTGGCTATCTTGGAATTCACTCTGTAGACCAGGCTGGCCTCGAACTCAGAAATCCAAGTGCTGGGATTAAACACGTGCGCCACCACTGCCCAGCACTAACAATGTTCTTAAACTAACACCTTTCTGAAAACTTGGCTCTAACATCTTCAGTGCTGTTAACTTTTAGTGTCTGTCTCACTCCCTCTGCTTTTCTCTTCTGCCTTTTACACATAAAGGCTCCGGGAGGCCATGAGCTGAGCTGTGACTTCTGGGAACTGGTGGGGCTGGCCCCAGCTGGAGGGGCTGATAACCTGATCAACGAGGAGTCTGATGTGGACGTTCAGCTCAACAACCGGCACATGATGATCCGGGGAGAGAACATGTCCAAAATCCTGAAAGCACGGTCCATGATCACCAGGTGCTTTAGGGACCACTTCTTCGACAGGGGGTACTATGAAGTAAGTGCCTGTTACACGGGTCACCTTTTCCAAGTGGTACTGTGCTGTTTGGAAGTGTTGGCCATAGCAGACTTGTTTGCTCCTTCTCACTTAACAGGTTACCACTCCGACACTGGTGCAGACGCAGGTGGAAGGTGGGGCCACACTCTTCAAGCTTGACTATTTCGGAGAAGAAGCATTTTTGACCCAGTCCTCACAGTTGTACCTGGAGACCTGCCTTCCAGCCCTGGGAGATGTTTTTTGTATAGCTCAGTCATACAGGGCCGAACAGTCCAGAACACGAAGGCACCTGGCTGAGTATGCAATCGTCTTACCTAAGCGACTCCTAGGGCTGGGGTAGAGGTCAGCTGGTAGAGTGCAGGCTTAGCGTGTACAGGGTTAAGTCCTCAGTAGCACATAGAAGTGAACCTGTTGGCAGATGCTGGTAATCTCACTTGGGAGGTAGAGGCAGGAGGATTAGATGTTCAGGGCCAGGCTGGGCTATAAGACCCTGCCAAAGAAGAAAGAAAGGGCAGTTGGTTCCTTAGGCCACAGTCAAAATCTATTCTCTGATTTTCCCGTGAGTTTTCAGTGAGGGAGGCTTCTGAGATTCCCACAGTTCACTCTGAACACTTCCGCAAGGTTCACACCCTTGCTTGAGAGAAGCATCTGTTTAAAACAGGAGCAGTGCTCAGCTGTGTCTGTTTCTCAGGTTCACTCACTTGGAAGCCGAGTGTCCTTTCCTGACCTTCGAGGACCTCCTGAACCGCTTAGAGGACCTAGTGTGTGATGTGGTGGCCAGAATCTTGAAGTCTCCAGTGGCAGGCATAGTGCATGACCTCAATCCGGTAGGTGTAGTGTTGTCTCCAAATGAAAGGATTCTTTATAGAAGACAGAATCACTCTGTTCTTGTAGGTTTAGTGAACTGAAATAAGTAAATAATGTTTTGAAAATTTAAAACTGGTAAATTGCCAGTGACTGTATTTTAGCTTATAAAAGAGGCAGTCGTAAGTATTTCTTCATCTGAAACACTGTTTCCTAATAATGATCTGCAAAACTATTTTTTTTTTTCTTTTTTCTTTCTTTTTTTTTTAATTTTTTTTTTTTTTTTTGGTTTTTCGAGACAGGGTTTCTCTGTATAGCCCTGGCTGTCCTGGAACTCACTCTGTAGACCAGGCTGGCCTCGAACTTAGAAATCTGCCTCCCAAGTGCTGGGATTAAAGGCGTGCGCCACCACCACCTAGCCCGCAGAACTATTTTCTGTGTTAAAGAGTTTATTGTTACTGTAATGGTGCAGATGGAAGGCAGAGAACAACTTTGTGGAGTTGGTTTTCTCCCTCTCCCCCTACCTTGGTCCATGGATCAGGCCCTGGGTGTCAGGCTTTCATGGCAATGGCTTTATCTGCTCCGCCATCTCTCAAGGGTCTACTCCCATCCCCTGCTTGTGTTTTTATTTTATATATAATATATATGTGTGTGTGTGTGTGTGTGTGTGTGTGTGTATATATATATATATATATATATAGTATATAATTAAATGTATAAGCAGAGCACACACATACATATGGGTGTTTTGCCTGTGTGTATGTCTATGCACCATATGCATGCATTGTCTCTGAAATCGAGAAGAAGAATCCCCTGGAACTAGAGTTACATCTGATTATAAGCTGCCATGTCAGGCTGGCGATCGATCCTGGGGCCTCAGGAAGAGCAGTCCATACTCAACCACTGAGCCATTTCTCCAGCCCCCACCCCCTTTTTGTTTCTTAACAGGCATTTTAAGATGGTATGCTTTCTGTTTATACAGTTTTCCTCTTTTCATTTTACTCTAGAACTTTAAACCCCCCAAACGGCCTTTCCGCCGGATGAACTATTCAGATGCCATTGAGTGGCTAAAGGAGCACGATGTAAAGAAAGAAGACGGGACGTTCTATGAATTTGGAGACGTACGTGTCCCTTTCTCATTGCTTCAGAGAGGCTTGTGTGCTTGAGCAGGTTGCTGGTTGTGGCTACCTCCTGATGCTGGATGTCTCTGCTTGCCTTCAAGTCAATAATAGTAGCAGAAACTACTATTATCCAGATTATCTGGATTCATAATAGCATGCACTTTAGAACAGGGTCTTTCTTGTGAAGTTCCAGAATGTTTGAGTTCCTTCATTCACACAGCATCCTTCTCTGTTATGCTCATGAGTGTTCCTCAGCCAGCTCATTCTCCAGCCTCCCTGGCTAGAGCCCAACATGCAAGTATTCAGATGTCTAGTTGACCATTCCTGCTTCACCATTGGCATGTGTGTTCACCGGTGAACCATGAGTAGCTGCTGCTCTGCAGAGCTTTGCTTTGTCTTCAGAAGTGATTTACTTAGAGAACAAATGATGTCTCAGGTCTCCACACATTGCCCTTGGTGTCTTGTAGATTCAGTTTATGATGTATAGCATAATTCTGAACTGAAGTGTTAAAGTACCTTATTCTACCTAGTACCTAGTGTGACTGGAACAGTCTCCAGCTATAGAACCCTAATGTCTCGGGGCCCTTGGTGGGCTTCTCTCTCAGCCTGCTATGTAACTGAAGGCTAGTGACCCAACTGTCCTCATGTCTACTGTGAAGTGACACCCTCTCCTAACAGATGAGGAGGTCAGGGCCAGTGGCACAGGAAGCTCTCAGTGCATGCTGGTGTGTATTGTGCATTTCTCGCTCCTGTAGCACAGGGCCCTAGAGCTAGTGAATAGTCTGCAGGCTTTTCCAGGTGTACCTTCATCTCATACAGAACCCCAGTGTAGGAGACAGATACAGCCTAAGAGATCAGAGTGTTCCCCATTTCATCCTTGTCTCTCCAAACCTTCAGGGAGCAGAGCCAGTGACTTCCCAGTTCTTCAGTCCTTAAACAAATCAGTGAGTCTGGTCCAGTCTCTGCCAGCTTTTACTGCCATAGGAATTTTGAGTTCTGTTTCAATACAGTTTCTGGAGGGATGCTTTGAAAGAGACTAATTTAGCTTGGTTTATCGTATTTCCTGGTTATAGTTGGAGGTGTGATAACACAGACTTGATGTTGGTAATTTACTTTATGACTGTTCCTACCACTGAATAAGTGATCTGTTGTAACAGGAAAGGAGTGCAGGTAACAGTCTAAAGATGAATGTCATCGGGACTTTGCAGATCAATCACGTTCTGGAGCGTACACTGACTGCCTTCTGCTCTGGAGACTAAGTGGGCTGTATTTGCTTGAGAGCTTGAGTCTGGCTGACCAAGAATCAGAGCAGTATCTGGTCCTAACTTAAGTGTCTGGGCAGCAGGGTCATTCCATAGCAGCACTCAGCACACTGCCTGGGCTGTGGTGAAAGCTGATCCTGTTACCGCTCATTTGATAGCCACAAGTAGGCTTTATTTCTTTTTTAAATAAATTGTTCCTATATACATGTGCATTTTGTAGTATTTTATAAGAACTGACTGAAGGCTAAAAAGCTGCTTTCTTTTTGCAGTTTTAAATGTTAATGAAATCTGGTTTAACCTCAGGATATTCCCGAAGCGCCCGAGAGACTGATGACAGACACCATTAATGAACCAATCCTGCTGTGTCGATTTCCTGTGGCGATCAAGTCCTTCTATATGCAGCGCTGTCCTGAGGATCCTCGACTTACTGAATCTGTCAGTCTGTGATTCCATGAGTATTAGAAAATTTGCTTTTTAAGGGTCTGGGAACTATCATTTGAGATAAGATATAGCTCATGGCAAGAATTTTATAAATCTAGAATGACAGTAATTAAAGTAAAAATCCCTTCCCTGGTAACAGTTGACATGTTCTGTTAAAGAATTTGAGTAATACTTTGCGTAGTCATGGGGCTTTCTTTCAAGTTAGCAGCTTGATATCTAATTTCCCTAAAGCCTTGCAGTCATGTCTGGTAGAGTGGCGGTAATTGTGGGGCTTTCGACTTACTGTTTTTAAGGTGGACGTGTTGATGCCCAATGTCGGTGAGATCGTGGGAGGCTCAATGCGCTCCTGGGACATTGAGGAGATTCTAGAAGGCTATAAAAGGGAAGGGATAGACCCCGCTCCGTATTACTGGTATACAGATCAGGTAAAAGCAATTGTTTAAACTTCTTTAAATTTTTTTCACTATAATACTTTTCTGCATACGTTGTTAGGAGGCCAGAATTCTTCGTATCCAGATGAGCTGTGTGTGCTTCATGTAGCATTGGGATATTGCCATTTTTGTCTTTAGCCCAGTTATACATCAGTTTCATTTGTAAAGTTCTGCTGCGGTTTTTGTTTGTTTGTTTGTTTGTTTTGATGTGAATGGGTATTTGGCCTGCATGTTTGTTTCACATGCAATGCCCCCAGAGGCCAGAAGAGGGCTTAAGATCTCCTGGAGCCACCCCTACAGATAGTATTGAGCTACCATGTGGATTTTGAACCAGGCCCTCTGGAAAAACAACCAGTGGTCTTAACTCTGAGCTAGCTTGCTAGCCCCTGCCACAGTGTAAAATAAAATAAATTATTAGATCCTACCAGCATGTAACACTATTTCTCACTTTCCTCGTGATAAATCAGGGCAATTAGTTTGAAAGGTGAAATCTCTTACTTTCAGTTGGTTCACTGAACTATTCCTCCCTGCATGGTTTATGAAGGCGTATGGATTTGGGTTGGATTTTACTACGATGAGCTGTTACATTGTGGAAGTTAGCTCATCATAGTAATAATTTTAATGTGATTAGGTACAGTTTTAAAATACGCATTCTTTCATTTATTTAACAGAGAAAATATGGTGCATGTCCTCACGGAGGGTATGGCTTGGGCTTGGAACGATTTCTCAGCTGGATTCTCAACAGGCATCACATCCGAGATGTGTGCTTGTACCCTCGATTTGTCCAGCGCTGCACACCATAACCGCATGGCCCTGAAGCACGAAGGAAATGAAAAGTGAAGACTGCCTCTACAAAAGAACAAACGCCCAAATTGTCCCTTGACTTCCTGTTGGGGGTTGTAGCTTTTTCCTGTCTTTATGTTTTTTCTTCTCATTATCTTAAAAAGCAGTAGGTATTACTTGAATATCAAGTGACATTGATGCTCCTTTAATAAAAATACTCACTACAGAATTTTAAGGAAATATATGTCATGCCACTCTCTAGTTATGGAGATACTTTATTGTACTGTAGGTTACAATCATTATATTAAATAAACCATACATGCTTATACAGTTTTTAATTATGGTCTGACATTCCAGTAACTCCATCTTTTTGTCCTTTTAAGTGTCACTGGAATTCTTTAATTTATTATGTACATCTGTTACAGCGAGCATCTAAAAGAGAAACTGGCTATTTGACATAAAAGAAACCGGAGTCAAATACATAGCCCTTTACATTCACTGTTAATCCTTTGTAAATTCATACAGTGTTTATAATTCCGAGTGGTATGAGTTGACCGGGAAAAAAGTTAATGGAGGGCAATTGGATTATAATTTGCAATGAACATGGTTTGGATGGTGGGTTATTCAAATGATTCCAACCCCCTTAGCCTTTAGTTTAAGAGGGTCCAGGTGGGGCTTCCCTCTTTGGTGTAATTCCTGAGTAACAAAAAGTAAATCTGTTTCCAAAGACTTTGCCCCTGGAATCTTAGCCACCATAGACAGCTAAGTTATCCCTGACTCATCCTTGACTACCTTCTGCGCTGCCTTGCCGACTCAGCAGCTTTACCAGTGGCTGCAGTGCACAGTTGCTCTCCCCCAAATGCATGCCATGTGTTCTGACTAACCAATAAATGAGCAGGTGTTAAAACACAAAACATTTTGCTGACTTATTTTCTCAATGTTGACCATCTCTGACTCACATTTCAAATCTTAACCATTTTTATTTGTTATAATTATTAGATTCTGAAGTTAGTATTATTCAAGTTATGTGACAGTGACAGAATGAGTTTTTAAAATTTTATGGATACTTGGGTCCTAGTTACAACTTTTTGTACTTTTAGTTGTTAATTTTAAAAACATTAAGTTCCCTTGTATTTTCAAGTCAGTAAATGACTGATGGAAATGGGCCATTGTGACCTAGTACCCGGACGAAGGTCAGTAAGCTGTGCCCAGTCAGTTTAGCAATAGTTTCACCAGAATTTAAGGGACGGACGAGGTTAAACTCAGTACCTTGAATTTTGTATAAATTGTATAAATAGGTTGATAGTTAAGATATGAAAAGAGAGCGAGGCCGGGCAGTAGTGGCACACACCTTTAATCCCAGCACTTGGGAGGCAGAGGCAGGCAGATTTCTGAATTCAAGGCCAGCCTGGTCTACAGAGTGAGTTCCAGGACAGCCAAAGCTACACAGAGAAACCCTGTCTCGAAAAACCAACCAAAAAAAAAAAAAAAAAAAAGGAGAGCGAGGATTGGGTAAGAAAAGGGATCAGACTATGGGACCAAGGACCCGACCATGAGTGACCACAGGGCCCATCCACGGGTGCTTTGTCTCACTGTGTGACTCTTGCTCTGCTCTCAGGATCACAGATGCCATCCCTCCTTTCAAGGAGCAGCTCGCAGACAGCCCAGAGTCTAGTTCCCACTTTCCTCATTAGGTTCATATCTCCTAGCTCTTTCTTCTCAGAAGCCTGCTTCTGGTCCTCCCAAAAACTCTTCACTTGGCCTTCTGCAGTAGACCTTCACAGAGAAGCAAGAAGCCACTCCTCCAGGAATTCACATTGCAAATGTTGCCCAAGTTAGGATACTTCAACTTTTGGCTTTAGTCAGTGATATGAAAGATTGGCCCATAAAGCATTTTACCTTTCATCTTTAATAGCCAACCAATTACGGGTGTTAAACATGTTATAAAATATGCCATATGGTAGAGGGTTTTGCTCGCTGTTACCTCAGTGCCCTGAGTATGTTATAGAGATAGGCTAGGCCACACGATGATTTTGTAGAAGGTGTAGTAAGTACATTTTCTACCTGTGATACTTTGAGCTTATGCTGTGGTTATGGAGAAGTAACCTCATTGTATGCCAAGAAGCACCTGGTCGTACTATTCATTTTTGCTAGAAGTCCTTCAACCATTTTTAGCAATTCAAATTTCTCCTTTATCTCCTTCCCACCTTGCTATGTGTAATAATTCCTAAAGATATCTTCTTAAGTATAGAGAATAGTTCAACACTCGGTACATATTATAATTACTTGATTTTATAAATTGTAGTGCCTGGGTTTGACTGGATTAGCTGAATCTGGATTTATGAATGAGGCCGAAATATTTTTTGAAAATTCCTAAGTAAAACCGGGGTAGGTTGATGTTAACTGTTACTAAAATGAACTTACAGGCTCTCTTCTTAATATAATACTTAAGTCCTCAAATATTACTGCTCATCTCTAGTTGAAATGTGTCTTAGGGTTTCCATTGCTGTGAAGAGACACCATGACCAAGGCAACTCTTAGAAGGGACAGCATTTAATTGGGGCTAACTTACAGGTTCAGCAGTTCAGTCCATTATCAACAAGTCAAGAAGCATGACAGCATCCAGGTAGGCATGGGGCCGGAGATGGAGCTGAGAGTTCTCCATCTTGATCTGAAGGCCACTAGAAGACTGACTCTTCCACAATGGGTGGAGCTTTAAAGCCCACCCTCATAGTGATGTACTTCCTCCAAAAAAGGCCACACCTCAAAATAGTGCCACTTCCCATGGGCCAAAAGTATTCACACCACCACAAAATGAGAATACTGGAGAAAGGTTGGGTTATTTAAACTGTCTTAGCATCGTGTGTGTCTTCTAGGAATAAAGGTACCATGAAGCTCAGGTTCTGTAATTCATACCATCGGGAGATCACTCAAGGTAGTGACTCATGCTCAAAGCTTCTTATTTCTTGGACTGTTAGCCAGAATCAGCTTGATTAGGATTAAATGACGTCATGAGTGTGAACACTGAGTTCACACTCAGAATGGGTATTCAGCTTGTATCTGATGTAGCATACTAGCTTGGAGGCATGGATGTTTGTCAGAATTTAGCTTCATTTAAAATTGAGCTCCATGCTGCAGGAGCACATGCATTTTCTCCGTGATGCTCCATCCCAGAAGTGTCCCATGGAAGACAAGAACTGTAGCTTTCCCACCTGCACTGTTGATGCTCATATCTCCATCTCTCCAACTTCCTTCAGCTGTCATTTCTTTTGGAGACCTGGTAAACTGGAATGGCTTTTCCTTCTGTGCCTTCTCGTTTTCCTTACGATTAGTAGTATCAGGTTTTCTTCAGTTCAGACATACTGGGTAATCTCTCTGGTACATTCTTCCTGTAAAAGTTTCCTGGACTGTCTACCTGCAGCTTATCTGGGAACACAGTCTTCAGTTCCCGATAGGGGAACTGTGCCCCACGGCAGAGTGGGACTGACAGCTGCTTTGACAGACTTTTTTTTTTTTTTTTGGTTTTTCAAGACAGAGTTTCTCTGTGTAGCCCTGGCTGTCCTGGAACTTACTCTGTAGACCAGGCTGGCCTCGAACTCAGAAATCCGCCGGCCTCTGCCTCCCAAGTGCTGGGATTAAAGGCGTGCACCACCACCGCCCGGCTTGACAGATTTTCAATACATCGCATTATAGCTTGTTATCCTCATTGCCACTTGCAAAGGCACCTGTTGCCGCCAAGCCCAGTCACTAGGGATCCTGTTGCCTAAATCTAAATAGTTCTCACTTTAGAATGGGCCAGCTTACAATTCAGTTTTTCTCCAGCTGGCTGAGCCATGAAATATTGATTCATCTGACCTCTAGCTTCTAAAAGTCTGTTACTGTAATAAACTTTTCTTCCTTTTTTTTTTTTTTTGTCCTTGAAAACAAAAAGCACCCACCACCATCATTATAAGACCTCTGTTGAGATTTCTGTGGGGTTTGAGCCAAAGTGAAGCTAACTCTGTGTTTTAAGCCCCCGCTGGCCCAGAGGTCATTACTCCATTTTTGAATACAAGTCAAAATGAAGAAAGTACAAGGGGAGAGATATACAGTCATTAGCTGGGGAAAGACAGGTTGGCAAGCAGCGAAGACACATACAAACAAACATGAAACTATAGAAAGGTCCTATGTGACCTTTAAGTGGGTCTTGGGAATCTGAGAGGCATTATCCTTGGACTTTGTTGAATTTTTTTGGGACGTGTTCAGCTATGTGTGAATTCATAGGTTCTCAGCTGTGCTCAGCAGCTGTAATAAAACTCAAGACACTGGCAGTGAACTTCACAAGAGCCCTCTGGGCCCTGTCACTCACTGGTAACATTTTTTTCTTTTGAGTTGTATTCTGAAAGAATGAAACAACGTTCACTGTAGCAACAAGTCACACCTGGTTTCCGCAGACCAGCCCTGCCTCAGGCTAACCAGCCTCAGGGGCTATCTGACAATATGGTTTCCTCACCTGTAGAATAGGGTAGACTCACCTTTAAGGTGTGGCTTTGGTGAGTGCAGTCAGTGATGGATAGGGTCTAAGCACTCTTTGGAAACTCCTTTTGGAAAAGTCAGTATTTCCTTTTTTCCTTGTGGCTAAATGTGAGTGTGAGCCAAGAACTAGGCTAACTTCATTTTGTTGTTGTTGGTGGTGGTGGTTTTTCGAGACAGGGTTTCTCTGTGTAGCCCTGGCTGTCCTGGAACTCACTCTGTAGACCAGACTGGCCTTGAACTCAGAAATCTGCCTGCCTCTGCCTCCCAAGTGCTGGGATTAAAGACGTGCGCCACCACCGCCTGGCCAGCTGGCTAACTTCTTTTTAATTCGATATTTTAATTATTTACATTTCAGATGCCATCCCCCATCCCATTCCCCCTACCCATTAATCCCCTACCCCATCCCTCCTCCTTTTTTGCCTTTATACTGTTTAAATTACATGCAAGTATTAAGATCAATTCTAGGTTGAGGAACTAGTGGTACAATAGATACAAATAGTCCAGGAACAAGGAAGACAATAAACCCAGATAATCAGAGAACATGCATGGCAATAAACAGAGTCCCGAGATCACTCCTGTGATCACTATTTCTAAGGGCTTATCAGGATGATCAAAATATCTGAGCCTACTTCCCTGTCCTAGTCCAAAGTCATTTTCATTCCTGAAGCCTACTTCTTTGTTCTAGCTTAAGATTTAGATTTCTGCCTATAATTACTTCTTTGTTCTAGCCTAAGATTTAGCTTCCTGCCTGAAATTTCTTCTTTGTTCTAGCTTAGGATTTAGATTTCTGCCTGAAATTACTTCTTTGTTTCAGCCCAATGTCAGATTCCTTCCAAGCAGCCCATTTCTTTGTCCTTGGCCTATGTCAGATTCCTTCCAAGCAGTCCATTTTCTTGACTTTGGCCAATGACAGATTCCTGCTAGGCAGCCCCAAAAGTTCTCCACATCTCCCCCTTTTTATTACATAAACCAGACTGAGCCTGTCTTAGATCGTTCTGACAAGAAAGCCTTCCTTTGGAATATGCATTATCATAAGCAATGCACTCTGTCTTAGGTTGGTAAGGCTCTGTGCACAATCTTACCCGTCCTTGGCTTGCCAGCATGTTAAATTAGTAACTCTGTCTGGGGGTCCATTATCAGTTTCAAGTCATATACTTTGGCTGCCAGCCTGTTGATGTAGTTAGAGACAAGCTTTAACACGATGGGCAGGAATAAAAATATTCTGAGGACAAGAAGGGCTAGCCTGATCAAGCTATACATGCCATCTCTTAATCCAATATTGGAAATAACAGTCTACACTTGGAAGGCTAGATCTGGACATTTACAGAGACATATTTGGAAGTTAGCTGTAGTTCATTATGATGTTGTGATAGCAAGAGATAAAGTTGGAACAGGATCT